GACAGTGTGATTGGCACAGAACAGAGTAGAGTTTAGGGCTTTTGTACATAGGGTCTCTATGAGTCGCAAGTGACTCGACGGCACATAAGCAACAATGTTCATCTCTCAGACTTATTGTTATGTTGAGTTGGAACCAACACATTGCTTACCCTCCAGTGGTTTTCAGAGGCTGTATATTGCATGGGAGGAGACAGTTTGTCTTCCTCCTTCAGGGCTTTGGGTGGATTCAAACCACCAGAGAAGCACTGTCTTTGGGTTAGCAGTACAACTCCCCATGACTAGGCTATCAAAAAGCACTTACTTAAAACCCCACTTTGCTCTTATCTTCATATGATATTCTTCATATCCTCCCACAGCTCATCTGGTCTTTGCACATTGGTGTTCAAGGCCTAGCTACATCTAAATTAGGCTGATTTGAGTCTTGCCAGATGGGCAGTTTTCCCCTATATGATTTATAGCCTCTGGAAAGTTAATTCTGACTCAGTGGCACATACAGCAAAAAATTTGATCTCTTAAAGAGTCTTTGCTCATTAAGAACTAAAAACTATTTGAATGATACTTTTTTACCTATCTAATGTATTATCTAATATTAATGGATGCTCAAGCAAAGCTGTGCCTTTCTGGCTCCTTGAGAGAAAGTTGAGCTGTCTCCTTCCATGTGATGTACGGCATCGAATGGAGGGTCACCTGTGAATGGTTTCCCACTTCAGCAACAATGAGATAATGATGATATTTTGTAATGTTTTTATAACTGTCTTTATCTTTGGAATTAATAACAGTGCCCATGGAGGTCTGTTTTATTTAAAATAATTATTGGAGTGAAATATGAATTCAAAAGAGGATAACTCACCACTTGGAGAAAATTATTACAATTTGAAATAATAATTGGGCAGCATACTTTGCCTTAATGTGTATGTGACATTTGAGATACTATAGGAAAATAGTGGGGGTTTTGATAGCTTTAATAAATTTTTTTTTTTAAGTTTGGCAGACCTGATGCCCAGAGTCAAGGTTCAAGCAGTGGAGACTGTCGAAGGCTGTACACATGAGGTAAGCTCAAGTAGCATGCCGTAAGTTGATATTTTTAATGGCATTTTACCTGGAGTGCGTAAGTTTAATGATCAGCAAGCAGTGTAACCTTGAGGGCTTTTAAACATTGAACATTTTCTTTAGTGTGCACATGTACTGGAAGGAATGGGGATTTGTAATCAAATTTGGTTTCTATTCCTCTCACAGCTGATTTAATATCTGCATGTTTCGGTACATTTCTTAGAGTGTTTGAACATTAATTTTCAATTTGCATGGTGTTGTAATGAGATCTACCTCTCAGGGTGGATGAGATAATTATTAGAGGACATTAATTTTAATGAACATTTACAGAGATTTGGGGTTTTCATTCATTCATTGTTGCACTATTTTCTCTACTCTCCTCCCCAGTTCATTCTTCTTCCCCCCCCTTGAAAGTCTGTTTTAATTGTCTAATTGCCACAGTGCTTGTCAAAGCCAGTTCTGATTAATGTCCTTTGTCAGTGTGTCCTTTGCCATTCCCTATCACTCCTCCTTGAGAGAGACGTCACCCTGATTCATAAGGAAAAGGGGGCAGCGTGTCTCTTAGCTACTTCCTGCTGTAAGGGGACGCTCTTAAGGGTGAAGACCTCTCACTACTCTAAAGGGCTCCTTTGGCAATAGGAAACACATAGACTATTATGGAGATTGATTTTGGAATTTAGATGCACTGTTATCAATTGTGCTTAGCCATGCATGTTCATATCCTTGAAGATGTAACATGAAAGTGTTGCAGCCTAGAAGACACAAATTTAACAAGTTAAAAGTACATGAGTCAAAAATCGAAAAGCAGTAATATTCCACGTAGAGGCTCAAATAGTGGCACCAATCAAGTTACAGAGCGAAGGTAGTTCTTACAATAAAAGTCCTGTTGACTAGCACTTTGTCTATTATAGTATAAAGGTTAGGGATCACAAGATGTAGAGGTTCAACTATGTCATTTATTGTTCTTAAGTCCTGGAACAAATTCCATCTACCACTGGGTTGTTTTACAACTCGGAAGTCCGCATGCAAGGCAGAGGTGAGGTAAGGAACTGCTTTTGAGGTTTTCCGTCCATTCCAACAACTAAGAAATAATGAGAAGAGTTAGGACCTCAGAAGGCTTTTGGGACCAGAGAGTAGGCTCCTGTGTCCAGGAGAAAACGAATATACTTACCAGTAATGTTAATGCTCACCCACAGTTCTTCTGGGAGGATCTAAATTGTTGAAGCATCCTCCTTTGTTTCCAGCTGGGAGCTGGGGCCTGTCAGTCCTGTCAGCCACGAGGACCTGATGTAGGCCACCCTTGTGGCCAAGTGTCTTTCCACACTTATAGCGAGTGGGAGTTTCCTCTCTACTCTTAAGGTCCGTTAGCAGCACCCTTTTAGACAAGCTTCAGTTTCTTGTCTTGGCACAAGATGGCACTCACTGACAGTTTGTAGGTTCTCTTTTAGAAATGAGAGTTTGTAAAATAAGGGACAGAAGAAAATTGACAATTTCCTTCTATTAAGTCTTTTATTTATTCCCATTCCCAAGAAAGATGATCCACTTGAATGTGGAAGCTATCAAACTATATCATTAATATCACATGCAAGCAAAATACTGCTGAGATATTAAAAAAACAGCTGGAACAGTACACACATAGGGAACTGCCAGAAGTTCAGGCAGTATATAGAAGAGACTGTGGCACCAGGGATGTCATTGCTAATTCCAGATGGATCCTAGCTAAAAGTAAAGAACACCAGAAGAATCTGTTTGTGCTTTATTGACTATGGCGAGGCATGGCTTTTGACTGTGTAGTTCATAACAAGTTGTGGCTGACATTGAGAAGAATCAGAGTCCCAGAGCACTTAATTGTGTCCATGCAAAACCTGTACCTGGACCAGAAAACTCTTGTGTGAACAGAGCAGGGAAATACTGCATGGTTTAAAATTAAGAGGGAAGTATGTTAGGGTTGTATTCTCTCTTCATACATATTTGTTTGCTGAGCAAATTATCCAAGAAGCTGCACTCTGAAGAGGACTGTGGCATCAGGAGTGGAGGGACACTCATCAATAACCTGCGTTATACACATGGCACAGCCTTGCTTATTGAAAGTGAGAAGGACTTGTAGCACTTGTTGCAGAAGATCAAGGAATGGAGCCTTCTGTTTGTATTGCATGTCACTGTCAAGAAAACAAAGATTCTTAACTACTGGACTGATAGGCAATATGATGATGGATGGAGAAGAGATTGAAACTGTCAATAGCTTCACCTTCCTTGGATCCACAATTAACACCCTTGGTACCCGCAATCAGGAAATAAGGAGATACATTACACTGGGAAAATCTGCAGTTAGGAATCTCTCCAAGTTACTGAGTATTGATGTCAGTCTGAGGACTGTGGTGCATCTGATTGAGCCTGTAGTCTTATCATTTGCTATACATCTGAGAGCTGAACTATGAATATGGATGATGGAAGAAGAATTGCTGCCTTTGAGTTACTATGTTGGAGAGGAGTATTGAACATCCCATGGACTCCCAAAAGAAATGAATATATCTTGGAGAAGGTGCAGCTGGAGTGTTCTTTGGAGGCAAGAATGATGAGGCTTTACCTCACATACTTTGGGCATGTTGCTAGGAGGGGCTAGTCCTTGGAGAAGGACATGTTTCTAGGTAGGGTTAAGGGTCGACAAAGGAGAGGAAGACCTTTCACTAGGTGGACTGATGTAGTGACTGCTGCAGTGAGCTTTTGTGTATCAGGAAGTGTGAGGATGGGACAGGATAGAACAGAGTTCAGATCTTTTGTTCATTGGTTCGCTTTGAGCTTTGAGTTGTACTCGACGTCACCTACCAATAACAATATATAATTTTATTGCCTGTTCTGTGCGGAGTGCACTGATGACTGGCCAAGCCTCTCTGGCTGTTCAAATCCATCAGTGACTTTAGGAGAGAAACATAGGCAGGCACCTACCATGCAATTTGCAGCCTTGGAAGCCTGCTGGAGGATCAGCAGTGAGTTGGTTACCAACAGCAATAAGAGTTTTTTTAGTTCCATAGCTGAAGTTGTTGCATGGATTCCTTATGTCTGGAATCAGGCTTTACTTTTTTAAAAAACTAGCTTTCATGATCAAATTTTCTTTCCTTTGGATATGATTTGACCTCCTTTAGCTTTAATTTGAACTTGCATATGAATAGTTGATGGTTTCTTCTACAATCAGCACCTGGCCTAGTTTGGGCATACTTTGTGTACGTGGCCAGGGACTGACTGGTCCTTAGAGAAGGCTCATGCTTGGGTGGAGGTACAGCGCAGGAGATAAAGACCCGTGATGAGATGGATTGATACAGTAACTGGGGTGATAGGGTTATGTGTGTTGGAATCAGTGAGACTGGCTCAGGACAGGGCAAGCTTCAGAGCTACTATTCATAGGGTCACTATGAGTCACAGGTGACTCGATGGCACATAACAACAACATACATAACTTTATAAGAAGTTACATTATTGGCCAGATCTTTGTTTTGTCTCGGGATAACGTCCAACAAAGAAAATGTTCTTCATCTTACTTTAGTCAGTAGGTAACAGATATCTTAAAAGTTTTATAAAGAGCCATCTTTAAAGTACATTTAATGATCTCTTCTTGACTGGGGCAGAGAAAAATGATGAAAACTATAGAGACATAAAAACATTAGTTCAAAGGACTGATGAGCCACTCAGCCCTCAGCTTCTGTCACCCTGAGAACAGAACTGTTTGTTGTCCATCTTCCACTCCTGACTGCTCAGAAAGGGATTATTATGGAAGGTCTTACATAGAATAGGAGGAAAATAGAGGAAAAAAACTTGCAAGATTGTTTTAGAAAGACTAGGTCTATTAGCCAGAGAGAGACTTGTGGAACTTTTAATAGAACAGTACGCTTTGTTATTGTCCAGTCAGTTTGGAACTGATTGACCTTCCAGCTGGTTTTCAGGGGCAGTAACCCACCCAGGAGATTGCCCTTTTTTCTCTTGCATTTGATTTGAACCTCATGCCTTTGGGTTTGCAACTCCTTAACACTAGCCCACTAGCACTCCATACTATTTATCTTAGCCACCCTTTAAGCCTTGAACTGAAGTCACCCCTTACAGCTTCATTTTTGTCACAATACATATTTATAAGGTGAGCAATAATACTAGGCAACTCCTGACATCAAAGGGGTAACATTTAACTCAAGGACCAAGTTAGAAGCCAGGAAAGAAAAAAAAAAAAAAATAAAAAAAAAAGAAGCCAGGAAAGGACAGGGGAGGAGTGGAAACAGAAGACACAGTTGGGAAGTGGAATAAATGATGTTAAAGGTAGAGATTGGAACCAGTGACATGAAACAAAATGTATGATTTGTTAGATAGAAAACTGATATGTCTGTAAACCTTCATTCAAAGCACAGGTTAAAAATGTTATGAATAACTGAAGAATCTTATTAAAATTTTATTGAATAATCAAAAGAAATTGCAAATGAATAAAAAGCAGCTTTTGATAGAACCTCATTTTTGCAAATACCTCTTTTTCTATGGAAAGTTCTTAAGGTCCATTAGAACTAGCAAGGTGAACTAAGCATATGTGTTACTCCATAGATTGTATCTCAGTATCAGAAAACAAAGATTCTTATCACTAGACCTATAGGCAGCATCGTGATAGAAGGAGAAAAGATTTAAACTGTCAACAACTTAATGTTATATGGATCCATAATTAACAACCTTGGTCCCAGCCATCAGGAAATCAGATTTACTGCACTGGGAAAGTCTGCAGTTAGGGACTTCTCCAAATTATTGAGGAGCAGTGATGTCAGTTTGAGTGCTAAGTGTGTCAGATTGAGGCCATGGTCTTTCCTATCACTTGCTGTGCATCTGAGAGCTGGACAGTGAATAAGGATGACAGAAGAAGAATTGATGTCTTTGAGCTGCAGTGTTAGAGAAAAGTATTGAATATCCTAGGAACTTCCAAAAGAACAGATATGTGTTGGAGACGGTACAGCCAGAGTGGTCTTTGGAGGCAAAAATGATGAGGCTTTGCCTCATATACTTTGGGCATGTTGTTAGAAAGGGCTCTTCCTTGGAGAGGGACTTGATGCTCAGAAAGGTAGAGGGTCCGTGAATGAGAGGAAAGCCCTTGACCAGATGAATTGACATGGTGACTACCGCAGTGAACTCGAATGTGTCAGGAAGTGTGAGGATGGCACAGGATAGGACAAGGTTCAGATCTGTTTATAAGGTTGCTGTGAGTCGTACTCAACTCAGTGACACCTAACAACAGCATACCTTTACAGCAGTATCACAGTACTTCAGAATCACCTAATTTGATATAATACTTGTTCATTGACTTCTTGCTTTTCCCTTAGAAATTATTGATGCAGTAAGGATGGCGTTTCGTGTGATTACTGCCTCTGAAAACCTTTGGGTCAGTTCTGACTGATGATACAAAACAATAAGTTAAATTCCTACTGAGCTGTAGTGTGAAACATGAGCATTGCCAGTATTTGAAAGTGTTGTTAATTTTGCTGTATTATGGAAACCTTAACAGGAGGGAAATGTCAATTTCCTGTTCTTGTAATTAGTGTAATTTTATTCCACATAATTTTTTTTCATGTAATAACATCCCTTTTAATGCCTTTTCATCCTTTTTTAATATTTTTTAATATCAAGCAGTACATTATGTATGGAAAAGACAAATAACCTTACTAAACACAGATTCATTCTTTTTTAAAATTTTTTATTTTCACGTACTGTCGAATCAGATCTGACTGGCACAGGAGGAGATACTCCTTCTCCAGCAGAGCGTCTGGTGGATTTGAACTGTGTGCTTTCAGGATTGTAGTGCATCTTCTTTACCACTAGGCCACCAGAGCTCCCTTAAACACAGATACTTTAAGAGATCGTATTTGTTGCTTTTGTGCTGTCAAGTCAGAAGTGACTCAGCTCACCCTCTTGAGACTCTAAAATCACATAGGAGGAGATACCCCATCTTTCTCCCTCAGATCAAGTGATGGATTCAAACACCACAACTTCTGAAAGGTGTTAAGTTACTATACTGAGAAATAAAAGTTTCGTAGAGTTCTCTTTAAATGTTACACATTTCGCTTTTTGCCTGTTTTGAACACATTGTGACCTGACATTGCCATCCCTCCGTTGATTCAGGAGCACCAACTGTACATGAAGTAGTGACTTGGTGATTTGTTTTTTCTTTTGGTCATCAGGTTGCACTTCCTGCAGATGAAGATTATCTACCACTTAAACCTCGAGTTGGGAAAGCAGCAAAGGTCTGTTCTTTGTGTCATAAAATTTATGCAGTTTTGTGAGTCTTAAAAACAAAAAAAAAATCTTACACTTAAACTCTTCAGATGATATTTTTGTATCTCCCAGTGTATATATGTGAAGGTGCTCCAGCCAGCTGGAGCAATGTACAAAACCCAGTCAGTAAATAGTTAGAAATTAAGCATCATGGTATGAGTTTTTAAAAGTCAGTGACTTTTAATCTTTTTAAGGAATCTGATGAAAGCTCTCAAGCGTTTCTCTAGAGAAAAATTATTGAATACAAGATTCTGTATATAGCTTTTGGAAATCAACAAATCTCTAGTGATGCTTCTAAAATATATTGCTTGTATTAGATGGCTTTTAAAGTTTTGACAAATTTTAGAAAGTTAACAAATTTTTTATGTAGAATTTTCATAATTTATTTTGGATGAAAACATAATGTGCTGAAATAAGCATGAATGTCTATCATCTAATATACATGCTCATCCCTTACCAGTTATCTTGTCTGATATACTACATTTAATCAACAGTGAAATAACTATTTGACTCTCGTGCTTTAATGGTATATGTCTAGCACTAACACACCAAGGTGCAAGGTAAAAGTCATGCTGGATGTGATGTTTCTTTGTTAGCTTTTCTGGGCCATGGTTCTCAAGTGGTTTGATAATTTTTAGTGATAATAGTTGGCCATTGTATAAAATAGTAGTCATTGTCTAGTTTTTTATCATACATGTTCATTCTCTATTTTTTGGAAGTTGGCCTGACCTTTGAACACAGCTGTATTAATAGATCCATATGTATGTTTTAATTCAGTCTCTGCTATCTACATGAACTTAAATGAGGAATTTTACATTTTAGATCCTGAGTTTGTGAATATTTATTCTAGGAATTGTGAAGATTAATAATGCATTTAAAATCTCTATTATTTTTTTAAATTTATTTTTCATTTCAGTGAACATCTACAGAAATTTTGGAATTCCATTCATTCATTGTTGCACCCCTCTCCCCGCTCCCCCTCCTGCCCAGCCCCCACCCACGTTTGTTCCTCTCCTTCAAAAGAAAAGAAAAACTCCCTCATTGGTACGCAATCCCCCACACACATCCCCTAACCCCAAATATAATCCACTCTGCAACCCTCGTTCCGTACTCTTACGATAAACATAATGCCCTAAAATATAAAATATTCTCTCCTCCAAAGACTTCAATGCCGTAAACATATTTCATCCAGTTTTTCTCAGTCTTACCCCCATCCCGATGTCGGCCTCATTGTACAACAGTGGCACCATATAGCATTTGTCCCTTTGTGACTGAGATTCTTCACTCAGCATAATGTCCTCCAGGGTCACCCATTTTGAATAATATTGCATGAGTTCCTTGTTTTTCAATGCAGCATAATATTCCATTGTGCGAATATACCACAGCTTCTCTACCCATTCGTTTGTTGATGGGCATTTGGGTAAAATATCTATTATTAATAGATAATAAAGTAACCATTTTATTAATATAAAAAACGTATAATATAATGTTGGAGGTAGAAAGACAGCAAAACTGATTTTTGTGCTATATAATTAATGATATTTTTGGCTAGTGGATAAGATAATAATGTGCACAGCATTATAAAGAAATGCTCCCAAAATCTTTTGGGGGATAGCCTTTCCTTAATTTTTAAATTGTGTTCTGATATAGTTAGGTCATTTCATTCAGGTATTAATATTTTGTTTTTGTAAGAATATTTTATTATTATTTCTTTAGGTATATTTCTACATTAATATTTTGTTTTTGTAGGAATACCCATTCATTCTTGATGCTTTTCAAAGAGAAGCCATTCAGTGTGTTGATAATAATCAGTCTGTTTTAGTATCTGCACATACATCAGCAGGAAAAACTGTGTGTGCTGAGTAAGTACCCTTTTTTTAAAAATGAAATTCTAAAATACTTTGTTTTTTCAGTCTTACCCTTTGAAAGCTTTAAGTCTTTGTCTTGTTTGATTTACACAAATAGATCTTTATTTTCTTCCCTTCCCTTTAAGAAGTCTTATGTAGCGTGTAATGTGGTGTTTTTCTAAACCAAAAAAAAAAGGTCAACTTAAATCCACCAGGCCCTCCACAGGAGAAAGGTGGGCTGTCTGCCCCTATAAAAATTTACAACCTGATGATGGTCACTGTGAGTCAGACTGGACTCAATGACTGTTGTTGTTGTTGTTATGTGCCGTCGAGTCCCTTGCGACTCATAGCGACCCTATGTACAACAGCTCTAAACTCTGCTCTGTCCTCTTCCAATCTCATTGCTTCCGACACACTCCTCCCGATTGCCCCCATCACCGAATCAATCCATCTCCCAGAGAGCCTTCCCCTCCTGCGCTTGCCCTCCACCCTCCCAAGCATGATGTCCCTCTCCAAGGACCAGTCTCTCCTTATAACATGACCAAAGTATGTCACACTAAGCCTCAGAATCCTTGCCTCCAAAGAGGAGCCCGGTTTAACCCTCTCCAGGATGAATCTGTTTGTTCTCTTAGCAATCCGTGGCACCTTCAGCACTCTTCACCAACACCAAAGCTCAAAAGCATCAATTCTCCTTCTATCCTCCTTGGTCATTGTCCAGCTCTCTGATGCATAACAAGTGATTGCACAGACCATGGCCTGTACCAGACGCACCTTTGTCTCCAGAGATACACCGTTGCTCTTGAGCACTTTAGAGAGGTCCCTAACAGCAGATTTTCCCATGGCAATACGTCTTTTAATTTCCTGGCTGCTGGTGCCGAGAGTGTTGATTGTGGAGCCAAGCAAACTAAAGCTGCGAACAATCTCAATCTCTTCACCATCCATCCTGATGCTGCCAGTTGGTCCAGTGGTGAGAATCTTTGTCTTCTTGACATTGAGCCTCAGTCCATATTGTAGGCTGCAGTCCTTGGCCCTCTGCAGCAGGTGCTTCCGGTCCTCCTCAGTTTCAGCAAGCAGGGTTGTGTCGTCTGCATAACGCAGATTGTTTATGGATCTTCCACCAATCCTGATGCCACATTCCTCCTCATAGAGTCCAGCCTCCCGGATAGTCTGTTCTGCATACAGTTTGAAAAGGGATGGAGACAGGACACATCCCTGGTGTACGCCCTTCCCAATTTTGAACCATACAGTATTTCCTTTGCTCTCTTCTGACAACTGCTTCTTGGTTTAAGTATAAGTTTCGCATTAGCATGATCAAGTGTTCTGGGATTCCCATTCTTCTCAGAGTCAGCCACAGTTATGGTCCACACAGTCCAACACCTTTGCATAATCAATGCAGTACAGATAGACATTCCTCTGGTACTCCCTGCTTTCTGCCAAGATTCATCTAACATTAGCTACAATATCCCTAGTACCATGAGCCCTTCTAAACCTAGCCTGGGCTTCTGGCAGTTCTCTGCTGATGTGCTGTTCCAGTCATTTTTGGATAGTCTTCAGTAGACTCTTGCTTGCATGTGAAATCAATGATATTGTTCTGTAGTTTCCACACTCTTGTTGGGTCACCTTTCTTTGGAATGGGAACAAATATAGATGGTAGATTTTATTTAAAAGAAACCAAAACTACCTACCTTATGCTCTGTATTGTCAAGTTCTGAACCAACTCGTAATTGACCCTCCAGTGGGTTTCTGAGGCTGTAAAGCGTGTGGGAGGAATTGTTCATCTTTCACTCATGGCACTGTTTGCATATTTCCTTTGGGATCCTAGCTCACTTTTCTGTGGACTATGCCACCCACCATAGCTCTTGGACTTTATTGTTCTTTTTTCTTAAGTAGTAAACAATGAGCCCGTTGATGCGAGGCTTTGTTTTTCAAATCTAGACATTCAGTGCTACAAATTGAATTTCTAAAGGCTTTTAACTACATCCTACAAGTTTTCTTTAATGTTGATTTATAATGCTTCCTTTATATGTTTGTGAAATACTTTATGTAGTTTTAAAAATAATTTCGGTTTCAGCGTTTGCTTGGCTCCACAGTCAACAGTCTTGGCACCAGCAGCCAGGAAATTAAAAGGCGCATTGCCATGGGAAAGTCTGCTGTTAGGGACCTCTCCAAAGTACTGAATAGCAATGGTGTCTCTCTGGAGACTAACGTGCATCTGATACAGGCCATGGTTTTCGCAATCACTTGTTATGCATCAGAGAGTTGGACAATGACCAAGGAGGATAGAAGGAGAATTGATGCCTTTGAGCTGTGGTGCTGGAGAAGAGTATTGAGAATACCATGGACTCTAGCAAAACAAACAGATTTGTCCTGGTAAGGGTTAAACCGGGTGGCTCCTTGGAGGCAAGGATTCTGAGGCTCCGTCTAACATACTCTGGTCATGTTGTAAGGAGAGACCAGTCCTTGGAGAAGGACATCATGCTTGGGAGGGTGGAGGGACAGCACAGGAGAGGAAGGCCCTCTATGGGGTGGATTGATTCAGTGACTTGGGTAATTGGGATGGGTGTGTTGGAGACTGCGATTGGCACAGGACAGAGCAGAGTTTAGGGCTATTGTACATAGGGTCGCTATGAGTCGCAAGCGACTCGACTGGCACATAACAACAACAAGCGTGGCTATATAAACATGGCTGGCGCGGTCCGCTGGCAGAGCGGTGGGGCGTGTGCTCCCGTGGGGTGGGGTCTTGCGCGCGCTAGTTTTGAAGTTTCAGGTGCTTTAAGCTGTGGGCCTGAGATAAACTGAGTTGGGAGCGGGAGTGATGCCTTCCGGAAGGGCGTGGCGGATTAGGAGCAGGAACTGAAAGGTCTGAGGCGGAGCACCTGTGAGCACCACAGAGGAAGGGCGCTGAGGGAGCCTTTCCCTGTCTCCCCAGCGATTCTGTGCTGCCTGAGCCGCACTGGAGTCCGCTGCTGCTCGCACAGCTCGCCCTTCCCTCTGATCCGGGATTGGCGGCCCCGCCACAGCTGCTGAAGCACCTGGCATGTCTTTGGGGCCTCTCTGAGCCGGCCGCCGCCGTGCCCCTCGCCGGGGTGAACGCCTCGGGGACTGTCACCATGGCCCCCGCCGGGGCGCTGCCCGTCCTGGTCGAGAACCTAGGCGCCGTGACCCAGGCTGCTGTCACCATGTGTGTGGGGTCCTCCACGCCCCAGACCCTGCATAAGGCGGCCCCCCTGGGCACCCTGGTGACGAGCGTCGCTCCGGCCAACGCGGTCCCTAAACCCAGTGGACCCCAGCTGCCCGCTCCGCAGCTGGTCACCGCCGCCAAAGCCCCCAGCACCACGATCCTGTTGCCTGCCAACATTCAACTTCCTCCAGGAACTGTTGTCATCAAAAGTAACAATGGTCAGTTGATGTTGGTGTCTCCTCAGCAAGCTGTAACAAGACCTGGAGTTATTAATAACGTAACTTCAAGGCCAGCAACGACTATAAATATGCAAACAGTCAAAACCTCTACAGTGCCGTCTATGCCTGCACCCAGCAATGTTGTCCCAGTTACTGTGGTGAAGCCAGTGAATACTGTAACTACCCTAAAACCTTCAAATCTTGAAGTCTCATCCACCAAAGCCCCAGAACCCATTCTCCAAACAGAGAACTCAGGAGGTGTGCAGACTAAACTTTCTCCGGCAATGTAAGAACTTCCTTGCAATGTTAATAAAACTTGCATGTAGTGGATCCCGGTCCCCAGAAATGGGGCAGAATGTGAAGAAATTGGTGGAACAACTTTTGGGTGCGAAAATTGAAGTGGAAGAATTTACTAGAAGACTGTATGTTGAACTCAAATCTTCAGCTCAACCTCATCTAGTCCCGTTTCTTAAGAAAAGCGTGGCTGCCTTACAACAACTTGTTCCTAACTCGCAGAGCTTTATTCAGCAGTGTTTTCAGCAGACTTCTAGTGAGGTCGTCCCTGCTACCTGTACCACGACGGGGAGTTCTTCGGTGGTGACACCTGCCTCTTCGTCTGCCCAGTCTGAAAAGACCGCCATTTCTGGGGCTGCAGCCCCCAGACCTGTGTCCGTCTGCTCCCAGAACCCACTTGCGGGTCTAAAGGGAGCGAACAGCGGCCCTGCTGTGAGGCCAGGCCGTAGCTGCAGCTGCAACTGTTTTGCTTCAGACTTCAAAACCTCTTGTCAATTCTGGACCAAACAGAACGGTGTCACTTCAGCCCCAGAACCCAGTTGTTTCCGGAGCGGCCGTATCTTTTGGAGAAGCTTCCACCACAACTCTTTGTCTTCCTACTGTGAAACCTGCTGCTGCTTCATCTGGGACCCCGTCGGACAAGCCTACTGTGGACACGCCTGTTCAAATCAAGCTTGTGCAGTCCAGCTCCGTCCTTCCACAGCCACTCGGCCTTCCACAGGCAGTTAAACAAAAGCAGCTAGTAGTCCAACAGCCTTCAGGAGGCATCCCAAAACAAGTGACTACACTGTCCCATTCTTCACCATTGACCATTCAGAAGCCTGGACAAGAGAAGATGCCAGTTGGCACTGTAATATTGACCAACCAGTTTTCTCCAGCTTCTATTCTAAAGCAGATTACTCTACCAGGGAATAAAATTCTGTCACTTCAACCATCATATCTCTTCAGAAAAATAAGATAAAAGAGAATGCAACTGCACCCTTCAGAGATGAAGATGACATCAATGATGTGACTTCCATGGCAGGGATCAGCTTCAATGAAGAGAATGCCGACATCTTAGCAACAAGCTCTAACTTGGTTGGCACACTTACTCTTTCTTGTAAGGATGAACAATTTCTTTTCATTGGAGCTCTCCAAAAGAAGATTTTAGACATTGGTAAAAAGCATGACATTACAGAACTTAATTCGGATGCTGTGAACTTGATCTCCCACGCAACGCAGGAGCGTTTACGAGGCCTTCTAGAAAAACTAAGTGCAATTGCTCAGCATCGAATGACAACTTACAAAACCAGTGAAAACTACATCCTGTCTAGTGATAACAGATCACAGCTCAAGTTTCTTGAAAAGCTGGATCAATTGGAGAAACAGAGAAAGGATTTAGAAAAAAGAGAAATGTTGTTTAAAGCAGCCAAGAGTCGTTCCAATAAAGAAGATCCAGAACAGCTGATATTAAAGCAGAAAGCCAAACAGTTACAGCAGTTGGAGTTTGCACAGATACAGCACAGGGATGCCAATCTCACAGCTCTTGCAGCTCTTGGGCCAAGGAAGAAGAGACCATTAGAGTCTGGAAGTGAGGGCATAAAAGACAACCTCTTTACATCTGGGACACCCAGCCTGACAGCCACCAGACAGTTTCTTCACCCAAGAACCACGAGAGTCTGCATGAGGGACTTGATACTCTGTATGGAGCAGGAAAGGCAGATGAGGAATTCACACATTCTGTACCTGGCTCATCTGAAGTGACCACTCCACTGCCCAGGCAGAGCCTTGCTATTTACTGCCAAAGATACACAAAGAGCATTGTTGCACTATTCCAAAATGTCACTTTGTAGAAAATAGCCCTCAACATGGAAGGCTATTGTTTACAGTTAGAAACTTTTCTGAAGTCTTACTAGTACATCTCATGGGATACTTAGTGACCAAAATTCTGCTTTGTCTTGTGAAAACAGTTTATAAAGCAGCAATTTACACAGAAGGGGCATCTTACCGATCTATGCATTTAATAACAAGCTAAGGCCTTGTTACTACCTGCTTTATTTCCCAGTCTATTTATAACAGGTAAGGTATCATTCCCTAATAGAGTTTAATATAACTTGCATTGGGATTTCTGCTGTGTTTAATCCTGTTATTCTTTCCCTGTCTCTGATTTACTTGTCTTCGTTGGAGCTAGAAGTTACTTTGCGAGCTTCAACAGCTGCTGCTGTCTTGAAAGGTAGCCGGTGACAGCAGGGCCCACGCTAGCTAGCTGACTCAGTCCTGGTGTTGTCACACAGACAAGGTGCTGTTCTCTGATTCATGTCCCCATGTCCTTTTCCTCATACTGAGAGAGGGGACATCCTTGTCAGGGAAGTTTTGCAGTTGAAGCTGCTGAAATACCTCAATTAAAAAATGGAACAGATAGAAAGTATTAGAAGGAATGGCAGGGCATTGAGTTCACACTGATAAGGGAAATGGAAATGGAATCCTAATACAGAAGCCTGGCTCCACATGACCAGGAGGGTGGGGCGGGGTTGGGACTCCACCTCAGCCAGCAAGGGTTTTGTTGAGGGGGGGAGTTTTACAAAGCAAAGGAGAATATATTAAGCATTTCAAGTGAAGATATTTTTAAAGGAAGAAATTATTTTTTTATTTTGTCTTGTTTTAAATCGCAGGAGGGTCATTTTTGTAAGTTAGCGTTTTTATTGTTCCTTTTGTCATAAAGTTTTAGTTATTCTGAATTTTAAACATTTCAGTGTATATAAAAAAAAATCTGAATTGATGATTAGAAATTTTTGACTTTAGCATTCCGTTTTGGATTCTATACTTAAAAGATAATGTCAGCATTTCACTTTTGGGGAGACCTTGGTTATAAATACACAGTGAGAAACATGTTCTCTGTTCATCTGAGGAGCAAGCTGATGGGGTTTTTTCCCCAATTCCTCTTTTTTTTTTTTTTTTTAAATCCCACCTGTGCAGAATGCACCTGGTGAAAAATAATAGCTGTATTTGGATCATACACATTAAAAAAATGAGTAAATCTTTCAAAAGGGTTTTTTAAATGGGAAAGTTACGCTTGCTAGAAAAAGAATTCAGGGAGAAAAAAGCCTGAAGGTGTTATTCTTCATCCTGTTCTTCCGATTGGGACTGTTATGGCCATGTTCTGTACTATAGTAAGTTTTAAATTTGTCACAATTTTTGTTTTAGCAAGTTATTATGTAAAATGCTATAAATCATGTATATGTTAAGAAAAAAGATACTCAGTTGGTTTTGTATATTTAAAGGCTTAGCTTTATTTTTAAATGCTATAAATCATGTATATGTTAAGAAAAAAGA